CAGTGCGGCCGTGTGTGTGGAAGTGCTCATCACACCGTCAAACACTCAGGAAATGACAGTAAGGATAACGCTGAGACCGAGCCAGTAAGAAAAGGGCCTTGGCGTGCACAGGGAAAGGACCCTGGTTTATTGCTGAATCATTCTTAATAGCAGAAACAGCTAAGCAACTGTAACACTGAGCAGCACGCAACTGCTAGTCACCTGGGATCACCATGAGCGGGAACAACTTTTGCTCAGCCAACGCCAAACATTCAGGGTGAGGCTTCATCCTGGCCTTTGTTCCTCAGGTTTCCTCTCCAGCAGGCAGCTCAGGCGGTGGCAGGCTGGGGCCCGCTTTGACCCTTGACTCTGCCAAGCCCTGTGAGGGGCCTGGCTGGAAAGAGGGGCGGGTGGGGTTCCCGCAGCTCTGCCCTCACAGGAGAGGATTTGCCCTCACAGGAGAGGATTTGGCTAAATCCTTTCAGGACGCTGTGCCAGCTCGCAGAACTGCTGTGTGGGATGGTGCTGGGCAGGCTCAGAAAACGCTCTTCTGGGGCACCTGCCCGGAAAGATGCACAGATTTCATAACGGGGGGCTCCGCCTCTGCTCCCCCGAACTCCCATCCTCTCAGCTCTCCCACTGAGTGCGGCTGGGGCGCTCCCATCCAAGGAGACCAGGAATCCTGGGCAAATATGAACCCTAGTTGTCAGTTCCCCTCATGACCTCCCTTAAAAAGAAGCCCACGGAGGAATCCGTGTGCCAGGAATCTGGCTGAGAACGAGAGGAAAATGGGTCAGGACACCAGGGCCCGGCCACTCTTCACCACAGGGAGGGGCAGGGGCTGGTCCTGGCAGAGAAGCTCAGCCACAGATGTCCCAGCAGCGGGAGGGCAGCCTGGCAAGAGCTGGAGGCAGAGGCCTGGGAGGCAGGCAGGCTCCGGAGGGCACTGCGTGCGCAGCTAGTTCAGTGATGTGCCCTCTGTTGGCATCCATTTCCAGGGCTCCCGCAGGCTTCTCCGTAAACATGCAGCAGGGCTCCAGAAGTGGCTGCAGACAGTCCCCCGCAGAGTCCCCCGCGGAGCCAGCGGGAACCGGGAGCCCGCAGAGGTCCCAGGGCTGCAGAGCGGGGCTCAGGGCAGGCCTGTGAGGGGCCCACCGCCCCCACACCATCCCAGCTCCCGGGGCCTGGCCGCCACCTGTTCTGTATAAGCCTCTGGGAAGAAGGGCCCCTGTGGGAGGGGGAACTGCCGTGTGTTTCACAGAAGTAGAAACATGAGTGAACTCTTAAGGCTATTTGATCTTAGTCTAAAGAAGAATTTTCCAGTGTTAAATGAGTTAACTTACAAAGTTTTTGAGCTGCTTATCACTAAAAGGGCAGAACCACCCGCAGGTAAGAGTGCAGGGCAAACTCCTGCCTTGCTGGGGAGGGGAGAACAGCCTTAGTATCATCTCAGACGGGAGCATGAGAACTGATCATGGGAAATGTGGGCGCCAGCAGAGACAGCACATGCCTGGGCTTGAGCCTGGGGAGGGCACTGTGAATTCCTTCCTTTGCTCCATGCACTGCTGTGTCTGCTCTAAAATGGGAAGCCAAGCTGGGCCCACATATCTCAGCAGGTAAAGTGCAGAGTCCGTGGGTCTGTCTTCTAAAACAATCATGTAACGTTAACCTTGAAACGTAGGCATGTTTGCAAGGAGAGGTGAGGAAAGTGAAAGAGGGGAAGATGAGAAACAAACTTCACTGTATAAGAACCACCACACTAACTTCCCAGCCGTTTCTTCCACCTTCCTGAGCCGTGAAAGCGTCTCCTGCTGCAATGGGAATGCTGCTGTCACAGTGAGTCAGCTGTTTCTGTGGGTGCTGCCCCACCAGCGCTCAATGGTGTGTTACATTACCTTGAGGTGGGTAGGGAGCAGATCCAGGAGAACGCTGAGTCCCAGCTACATGGGATTCTGAAATATGATGAGGTGTCTTGGGTCTAGAAATGTCTCTGCAGGTTAAAGAACTTAATTTTATGAGTATGCCCAAGTTTGCGTGGATCCTGAAGGCTGAGTCACATGAATCACACTCATGAAAATTTGATAAACTAGATACCAATTTAATAATTTATAATTTATTAATTTTTAATGTCTGGCACTATAACTGAACAGATTCTACACAGGGAACATGATGGACAGATGTAATATTCAAAATATTTACCAGCCTGAAAGGCATGGGCACCAGCTGATGAGATGGACCCACAATCCATTACAACAGATGCCAGCTGGTTCGCTATTTCAGGTCCTGTTAGGAGGATGTTAGCCCTGGAAAGGGGAGTAAGAGTTAATGTTTGAGTAACCCCACTACCTTCCAGAGACTAACATAGTATTCTAAAACTAACTGTAGTGAATGTACAAAAAAAAAAAATTGAATTACCATTCAATTTAAATGGGTGACTTGCACAGTAGGTGAATTATACCACAATAAAGCTGTTTTAAAAAGACAGAGATTGGCAGAGTGTATTTAAGAACCCGACTCAATGTATGTTGTCTTTGAGAAATTCACTGTGTATATAGGCAAGTTAAAAGAAAAGAGATGAAAAATATATCATACAAACATTAGTCAAAAGAAAGCAGGAGTGGCTATGTTAATATCAGAAAAAAAGTGTACTGCAGAGAAAATAAAGTTATCAGAGACAAAGGGGAACATTATACAGGGTGGGGAAATGGTAGGTTTATAGTTGTGAGTATGCAAAACACAGAGCTTATTCTTGTATTATTACTTATTAATTGTATTATTTTCCATATGAACAACTGTAAACCTACTTTTGCACTACCCTGTATAATGTTAAAAGGGCAATCTACCTAAAAGAGATGACAATCGTAAATGTGTATGCACCAGGGCTGCAAACTTCTGGGGAAAAATCTGATGGGACTAAAAGAAAAAAAATAGACAAATGCACAGTTTTAGTTAATGGCTTTAATATCCCTTTTGAAAAATTGAAAGAGGAATTAGAAAGAAAGAAGTTCAAAGAATAGAAGAACTCACAATACTGTCAACCAAAGGGACCTAAGGGATATTTCTGAACACTCCACCCAAAGGCAGCAGAATACACATTCATTTCCAGCGCCCACAATACATATCCCAAGATATCCTGAGCCATGAAACAAATCTCAACATCTGTAAAAGAACCTAAATCATACAGAGTGTCATCTGACCACAATGGAATCGAACTAGAAACCAATAACAGAAATTGAACTAGAAATCAGTAACAAATAAAAGGAAAAGCTCTAAACACTTGGAAAATGAACAACACACAAATCATCTATAGTTCAAAGAAGAAGACTCGAGGAAAAATTTTAAAAATACGTTGAACTGAATGAAAGTGAAAAAAACATCTTGACATTTGTGTGACGCAGCTTAAAGCTGCACTGAAGCCAATATTTGTAGCACTAGATGTTTACATCAGGATAGAGGGAAAGTTGCAAATCAATAAACCATGCTCAAACTGCATGATCTCAGAAATAAGAGTCAAAACAACCAGAAGGAAGAAAAGAAAATAATAGCAGAAATCAAAGGAATTAAAAAGAGAGAAAAAATCAATGAAATAGAACTGGTTCTTTGAAAAGATCAATAAGATTAACAAATCTCTGGCAAAACAAAGAAAAACAGAAAGAAGAGAAAAATCACCACTATCAGGAGTAAAACAGTGAGTAGCACTACTACACTGCAGACATAAAAGAATAATAAGGGAATACTATTAACAACCCTACACACATAAGTGTAACAACAGGGATGAAATGGACTAATTCCTCAAAACTCACAAACTACCACAACTTACCAAATGAGAATTGATCATTTATATAGCCCTATAAATATTAAGATAATAGATTCATATTTTAAAACATCCCCCACCCCCCAAAAAAGAAAACCTGTAGATCCAGATGGTTTTACTGGAGAATTTAAAGAATTAACACCAATTCTGCACCATATCTTCCAGAAAATAGAAGACAAGGGACCAATTTTATGAAATTAGTATAAATGTGACACCAAAATCAAAGACAGTGCAAAGAACGAAAAATAACACCAACAACTCTCAAGAATACAGACACAGAAATCATTAGCTAAACATTAGCCAAATGAATCTGGCAAAATATAAAAGGAACTATACACCAAGTGGGATTTGTTCCAGGTGTGTAAGGCTGGTTCAACATTTGGAAATTAATCAGTATGAACCACCATATCAACACCCTAAGAAGAAAAATCATATGACCCATAAAAAGCAGTTGACCCAGAAAGAGCATTTATTCTTCTCTTTCCTTTTAGCTAAAACCTGCCCACTGGTGTTGCCTTTCATTGGAAATATATTTCCTTGTCCTCATCGTTCACCGGGATCCGGGTCTTGGTCAGGACTCTCTTAGTTCATTCACATAAAGAGATTTTCTCAAATCCCAATCCTGATTGTGAGGCTCCTTAAGCAAACTGGTTTCACTTTATCTGAGTAACCAGCTGGGCATAAGACATGAGGAGCTGATGCTAAACTACTAGATAAAACGGTCTAGTAGCATCCTAATTCCTCAACAATGGGACACACATTTGGAAAATAAAAAGGATTACTCAAGGTTAGAGACACAAATGATCATATCCATGTTTGAGAAATAAGATAAAAATAAGATATACACTCTATTAGAAATTTTAAACTTGTACATTTAAAAGACCAAATTTAAAACTCAACAGAGTACATATTAACACTAATGATTATTAGAAGGTTTAGTCCAAATTTTTTTAAAAATCATTGCTTAAATATATGTTGTATGAAGCCTCTCAAACCCCAACCCAATTATTCTTGTATTATCAGTCTTTGTCTTCAAATTAGTTTTGCAATACTAATTATATATTATTGAAAGAGAAAATACTTTGCACCATTCCACTTTTCACTTTCACTGAGCTAAGCCTGTTTCTGATAAGAACTAGGACAATCTGAGTTTCAGGCATATCAATGACAAGATTATACAAAAAACGCAGGACCCAGCCTCTTGATCAACCAATGACCTGTGTACTCTTGGACTTTCCACAGTGGAAGTTGTAACCAGAATCTCCCTTTCCCAATATACTCATTTGTGGCAAGAAGACCACGAAGAAGGTCAGCATGAGTACTACAGGGAAAGTAAGTACAGCTTTCTTTATGTCATGTCACAGTTGCGTCCATTTGTGTGCTTGTCTATTTAACACCTCATCCCCCAACTAGTCTCTGTACTCCTACAGGTGAGACACTGTCTTAATCTTAGTTCCTCTCCTCCTTTCCCTTTGCTTTTACTCCCTGCATGTGTTTTGCCTTTCCTTGGTGTTTTCAGTCCTTCCATAAGCAATATATCAAGCCCCATATGAACTTTCCAGAGTTGAAGACACATCCCCTCCTTCAAAGATCTCATGGAGAGACAGAGTATTATAAAAGAATAATTATAAGAGTGCACAAGTGTTTTCTACAGCAACACCCTGGAGAACTTGTTGCTGGTGCCTCACCTTCCCCTCCGCCTCCCCCCCCCCCCCCCACCGTCCCCCCCCCCCTCCCGCGCCCCCGCCCCAGAGTAACTCAGTCAGTAAGTTTGGGGGTAGGACCCAATAATTTGCAAATATTGCTGCTGCTGGTCTGGGACTACACCTTCAGTACCACTACTTTACAATAATACCCTGCTTTGTTAAAACAGCAGGGGGAGACAGGTAAAATAATTATCCTCTAAAAATGAACTGCCTTATACTACTAAAAACAAACAGAGTGTGCAAGGGTAGCAAAAGAGAGAGAGGAAGTGCTCCTAAGCTGGCTAGACTTTCCACAGGAGGGGACACTTAGCATCAAGGTGAAACATAGGAGAAAGAAAAATAACCCCTTTGAGAATCTCCAAAATATTTTTTGTGCCAGGAGGGTAACGTCAGAGGCAGGAAGTGACCAGAAATAAGGCTGGAGAGATGGATAGGGAGAAGCTCATGGAGAGTCTGACAGACCATGTCAACAGATCCTGATAAACTATTGGTAGCCATAACATTTTTAGGTAGGGGATTAGCATGGTCAGGATTATAGTTCAAATGGCAATGATATAAAGGGTGGATTTGAGGGTGATGAACCCAAGTCAGGTAAAAGGCAAAGTAAAGACCTGGACCACACAGTATCAGGAGAACTGGAAAAGAGCAGACAGATTCCAGAAAGTTTTAGATTTAGATAAAAATTAAGGCTACTTCCCAGGTTTCTTTCTTGGGTGAGTGAATAGGTTACATGGCCACACATTGGAATAGAGAGTGCAGAGGGAGGAGCAGATTATAGGTAATGTCCACCACTGGCAGCAAGGGGTGGGGACAAGAGAAAGAAATAATGATGTGTTCATATTTTAACATGTTGAGTTTAAGATACCTGAGGACATTCAAATAGCAAATGAATAAATGAGTCTGGAGCTTAAAGATGTCTGTCCATAAATACAAGCTGTCAAAGTCATCTACATAAAGGTGGTGGTAGAATCTACAAAAATAGATGAGACCACATAGGAAGAGAATTTATAGTGAGAACAGTGGTAAGCTGAAATCAGAAAAAGAACTACCTTGCCACCAACAACTTCTCCAACCTCAATTTGCCTGTGACCATCACCATTTGATGAAGTGCCACAACTAGATGTTCTCCATTCCCTGCTCCATAACACACCCCTCCACCCCAAAACTGACTCTCTCCCACACCTAGGATCACAAATAACTCCCATACTGCAATGCCATTCCTACCCTGAGATAGCCACTGGACAGCTTCAAGATCAAAAGTATGGCATCTATCCTCTTGATTGTGCAGCACTATATAAATATAGTTAGTATTGCAAAACTAATTTGAATGAAGAGACCGATAGTACAAGAAAAGTTGAACTGAGGTCCAAGAGGCTACACACAGAATATATTTAAGCAATGACTTTTTTTTTTTTTTTGCTTGACTGTGGAAGACCTAAGTGTATTAAACCTTCTAATAATCATTACTATAGAATCCATCTCCCAAGCCTAAAGCGTTTCCCTTTCTACCCCATGTTCCCTTCCCCAGGTGATCAAGTGCAGAGCAGCCATACTCTGGAAGGCTGGTGCACCATTTTCCATTGAGGAGGTAGAAGTGGCCCCACCAAAGGCAAAGGAAGTTCGCATAAAGGTAAAAAGAAAAAATACACATTTCCACACCAAAAATCAGACCTGTTCACTGCCAGTTATACATTATTTTCACAATGTTAAATTCAGAAAGAAAACTACAAAATCTTCTATTTCTTTTTCATTAAACATTTCCATCTGTCTTTAAGTCCAACCAGAGAAAAGGTTAGGGAGGTATGGCATAGGCTAACTGCCCAAAGGATATTTATTCACAGCTGCAGTACTAAGTACTACTTAAAAGAAGTTTCTACCACTGACCATATTTTAATCTGTACTTTCATATTTGTTTATGACATTCTTCATGATATTTAAGTTATCTTGAAATCTGATATATGAAAAAATGTGTTTGATTATAGATAAATCAAGTCTAAACCCTGGGAGGTCAGATTAGGAATACCTGTTATTTTAAAAATGAAAAGATTTTAATCCACTGAGGTGTAATGACTGGTTACAGAGCTAAGTAGAGTAAAAACACAGATGTCAACAACTTTCCTCAACATTGGTTACACATTTGGAAGCACTTGGGAGCTTTGAAAAATGCTGATAACTGGGTCCCACCCCCGGACATTCAGATTTTGTGATTTAATCAGTTTGGGGTGCAGTCTGGTCATGAGAGTCTTTACATTTCCACCAGGAGCCACCAGACCAGAACATTGTCCACCTGAGTTCATTGTTATTATGTAATTTTAATTTGATGAAGAAGTACTGTTTGTAATGGACTACAAAGAGGCAGTCCTTTTCTTTGTCACCTGTGCAATCCATGCCCCTTCTCAGAGTCTTCTCAGGCCTGCGTCCATGCAGAGTGCACAGGAGGCCACATGGCCCACTCACTCCTACCCACAGGGTCACCACTTACACAGCCAGATTTAGACCCGGACTCAAAGGTATACAACCATTATTTGACAAGCTACAAATATGAATCTCTCACCCATGAATTTGAACAAGATACAGAGACTGAGTAAAGCAGGAGATAGTAGGCACTGAAGAGGCTAGAAGGACTCAGGACTGATTGCCATCTTTTACCATATACATAAGCGTGAGAAATAAGAAATAAGAAAAAGCCCGTCTTCAGAAAGTAGTATGCCCATGTTGAATCAGAGTGTAGATCTGAAGACAAAGTCTGCTTGATGGATTCTAGATCCGTGAGGCCTAACTGCACTTCCACAGTTGGATTGTAAGCAATTTTACGGTATTCTTCCAGTAATCCCCCTTTTACATGAGCAAATTTCAATAGATTTCAATTCTTGATGAGTGTGTGTGTGTGTGTGTGTGTGTGTGTGTGTGTGTGTGTGTGCATGCAACCAACCTCACACCAATTTAGAGGTGAAGAAACTGACACTCATTAAGAATAATTTATCCCAATATGCACCCCTATGTTCATAGCAGCACAATTCACCATAGCTAAGATCTGGAAACAGCCTAAGTGCCCATCAGTAGATGAATGGATTAGAAAACTGTGGTACATCTACACGATGGAATACTATGCTGCTCTAAAAAGGAAGGAACTCTTACCATTTGCAAAGGCATGGATGGAACTGGAGAGCATTATGCTAAGTGAAATAAGCCAGTCAATGAAGGAAAAATACCACATGATCTCACTCATTCTTGGATAATAGAGACCATTATAAACTTTTGAACAATAATAGATACAGAGGCAGAGCTGCCTTAAACAGATTGTCAAACTGCAGCGGGAAGGCCGGGGAGGGTTGGGGGGCAGGAGGTAGGGGGGTAAGAGATCAACCAAGGGACTTGTATGCATGCATATAAGCATAACCAATGGACATAAGACACTGGGGGATAGGGGAGGCTAGGGGACTGTCTAGGGCGGGGGAGAAAAAATGGACACATATGTAATACCCTTTGTACTACTTTAAGCAATATAAAAAAAAAATAAAAAGAATAATTTATCCCAGGTCACACAGCTAAGAAGGGCATAGCCAGGATTTCAGCCTTTCTGGACCACTGCTCCAGAGTGCCTCCGTTTTAAACTGTCTGGCTGATTTAAACCAAAAAAGTGGGATTATGACTTGTACCAATAACACAACTATAATAGAAGATAGTATCTTTTTCCTTCCTGTGTTCCAATTCCTTCATTTTGATCATTGCTCTTTTTCCTCCACACTCGCACCCCAACTCTCCAATGAAGGACAAAGTAAGATATTTGATGTCACACTGTGGTTTTACAACTGTCTCTTACTGAACCCATACTGACCTCCCCAGTAAGTTTTAAAAACATCATTTTGATTCTGAAATTACCTAATAAAAAATATTGCATTGCTTTAAACAAATTAACACAATAAAATTATTAGAAATAAAACTAAGAAATATGCAGCATATCAACCTAGAAAAAAAGATTTAAAACATTAACAAGTCTAAAACACCTTTATCTGAGACAGAAAAAATTATATTACTCTTTGCCTTCCATACAGATCACGGCCACGGGGCTCTGTGGTACAGAGATTAAAATGTTGGAGAATCAAATGAAGTATCCCATCATTTTGGGCCATGAAGGGGCTGGAATCGTTGAGAGTGTGGGAGAAGGAGTGAGCACTGTGAAAACAGGTATGAACTGGCTTGGTACCTGGAGTTAGGAAATAGCAGCAACTTGGAACTTACATCAGGGAAATATGAGATCAAGTGACATAAAAGGAGAAATGTTGACCATCTGCTAGAAAAATAATAATTATGTTATAGAAAAATACTAATTGTATATATCCTTTGCATTTATATTTTGATACTAATAAGGACAAGAACTAAAATGCACTGAAACAGAACCTGAAAGTATAAATTAGACAAAATTGTACAAAAAGAAGTGAAGTGTTAAGTAATTTATTTAAATGAAGCATATGATAAATAGTCAAACAGTGGAACCAAATAGAGAAAGAACTCAGAACTGGATCAAATATATACATAGGAGTAAAATGCGGAATTAGGTCTGGCTTTTAAATTTAAGGAGGAAAACATGATTATTCAATAAATGACATTGAAACAACTTGATAGCCTTCGGGGGAGGCGGAAAATTGCATTGCTATTGCATTTTTATATTAAAAAAATAATGCTATATGAATCCTAGAATTAAATGTGGGAAAAAAACTAAAATAACATTGTATCATTTCAGAGAAGAGAAGGAAAGTTTAATTAGGAAAAAAACCAGATGATGTAAATAATATATAAAGTTGACAACATAAAAAGTTTTTTAAATTCCATTTATAAAAATTACTCTCCCGGCCCTGGCTGGGTGGCTCAGTTGGTTGGAACATCATCCCATACATCAAAAGGTTTCAGGTTCAATTTCTGGTTAGGGCACATACCTAGGTTTCAGGTTCAATCCCTGGTCAAGGTACGTACAGGAAGAAACCAATCAATGTTTTTCTCCCATATCCATGTTTCACTCTCTCTTCCTTCCTCTTTCTCTAAAAATCAATAAAAACATATCCACTGGTAAGGATTAAAAAATAAAAATACCCTCCCCAAATCAGTAAACAAATTTAAAAATGAGCAATTTTCTTTATTATATAAAGAATTCTTTTAGAGCAGGGGTCCTCAAACTTTTTAAACAGGGGGCCAGTTCGCTGTCCCTCAGACCGTTGGAGGGCCGGACTATAGTTTAAAAAAAAACTATGAACAAATTCAGCAACAGGCAGCGGCGGCAAAAACACCTGGCAATGCGGACTGAAAGGTCCCAGGTTCGATTCCGGTCAAGGGCATGTACCTGGGTTGCGGGCACATCCCCAGTAGGAGATGTGCAGGAGGCAGCTGATCGATGTTTCTCTCTCATCGATGTTTCTAACTCTCTATATCTCTCCCTTCCTCTCTGTAAAAAATCAATAAAATATATTTAAAAAAAAAAAAAAAACACCTGGCAGGCCGGATAAATGTTTTCAGCAGGCCGCATGTGGCCCCCGGGCCGTAGTTTGAGGACCCCTGTATTTAGAGGAAGAACCAAGATGGTGGCATAGGTTAACACCTATACTTGCTGCCTCTCACGACCACATCAAAATTATAACTAAAAGGCAGAACAAATACCGCCCAGAACCACAGGAAAGCTGGCTGAGTGAAAGTTCCACAACTAGAGAGGTGAAGAAGGTGCATTGAGACTGGTAGGAGGCGCAGAGGTGCAGAATGTGCTGGCACCTGGATATGCTGCTCTTTTAATTGGGAGGGAGATACAAGCTCCCACTTGCTCTGAACTCCAGTTCTGGATGAGACTCTGGGGGCCCAGACACATACGGGGAGAAACTGGACTGTCTGGCATCGGGACAGGAATGAGAGGGTGGCTTTCTCTCAGAGGAGCTCGCAGCGATCATTGTTCCTGCATGAGGGGCACAGGATGTGGAGACCCAGGGACCTCTCTGGTGCAGGCTGACTGGCGGCCATTGCTGTTTGCTCTGCCCTGGTAAATCCCAGAGACCCTGCCCCACCCAAGCTGAGCACATCAGCTTTTGCACATGAATGGCCTGTCTTTTCTCGGCCTAAAACTGTCAAACTGCAGCTGGATCAGAGAGCCCCAGAGCTTCCAAAAGAAGGCCCAAGATTCAACAGCAGCAGCCTGCCTTGCTTCACAGCTGGGCCTCATCTGGGCACACCCAAAACAAAGAGGAGGAATCTGCAGATGTTCCTGTAGCTTCTGCTGGGCGGCCCCAGACAGTGGCTGACCTTGCACTTCCTTGGAGATCCAAGAGCCAGTGTACCCAGTGGTCAGAGTGAGACCATCCCAGATTACAACTCTTCACATCCGTAAGAGACACACTCAAGTGGCAGACTCAGTGAGCACCAAAGCCCCACTGAAGCAAGTCCTGCTCCATAAGGGAGTCTCCTGCACAACAGATCTTCCAGTGTAGACACAGCTGGTCATCACAGCCAATTGGCCTGGAGGTCAATTCCTCCCAGTGATACCAACAGCAATCAAGGGTTAACTACGGCAAGACTGTGCAAACAACCCACAAAGGAGGGCACCAAGAGCATCCACCTCAGGTGACTGGGGAGGCTGAGCCACTGGGCCCTATAGGACACCAACCATACAAGGCCACTCTAGCAACTCAAGAAGACTTAGCAGCTACCCAGTACATAGAAACAAACACAGGGAAGCAGCCAAAATGCGGAGACAAAGAAATAAATCACAAATGAAAGAAATGTATGAAAGTAAACTACTGGATATAGAGTTCAAAACCATGGTTATAAGGTTACTCAAGAATCTTCTAGAAACCTCCGAGAAATTTAGTGAGACCCTCAAGGATATGAAAAAGGACCAATCAGAAATTAAGCATACACTAACTGAAATAAAGAATAATATACAGAGATCCAACAGCAGACTAGAGAATCCCAAGAATCAAGTCAAAGATTTGAAATACAAAGAAACAAAAAACACCCAACTGGAAAAGCAAAAAGAAAAAAGAATCCAAAAATATGAAGATAGTGTAAGGAGCCTCTTGGACAACTTCAAGCATACCAACATCCGAATTATGGGGGTGCCAGAAGAAGAGAGAGAGCAAGATACTGAAAACCTATCTGAAGAAATAATGACAGAAAACTTCCCCTACCTGGTGAAAGAAATAGACTTATAAGTTCAGGAAGAGCAGAGAACCCCAAACAAAAGGAATCCAAAGAGGACCACACCAAGACACATCATAATTAAAATGCCAAGGGCAAAAGACAAAGAGAGAATCTTAAAAGCAGCAAGAGAAAAACAGTTAGTTACCTACAAGGGAGTACCCATACGACTGTCAGCTGATTTCTCAACAGAAACTACGCAGGCTAGAAGGGAGTGGCAAGAAATATACAAAGTGATGAATAGCAAGAACCTACAACAAGATTACTTTACCCAGCAAAGCTATCATTCAGAATTGAAGGTCAGATAAAAAAGAGCTTTACAAATAAGAAAAAGCTATAGGAGCTTTATAAGAAAAAGCTAAAGGAGTTCATCACCACCAAACCAGTATTATATGAAATGCTGAAGGGTATTCTCTAAGAAGAGGAAGAAGAAGAAAAGGATAAAGATAAAAAATTATGAACAACAAAGTGACAACAAATACATATCTATCAACAAGTGAGCCTAAAAATCAAATGAATAAAAAACCTGATGAACAGAACAGTCTAAGAATGTAATAGAATCAGGGGCATGGAAAGGGAGCAGACTGACAATCCTCGGAGGGAAGGGGTTGTGGGGGGTGCGGGAAGAGATTGGACAAAGAGCTTACACCTATGAACAAGGTCAGTGGCGGGGGGTAGGTGGTGGGGGAGGAAGGCCTGGAGTGGGGTGGGAACGGGGTGGAGGGGAGCTATGGGGGAAAAAAGAGGAACATCTGTAATAATCTGAATAATAAAGATTTTTAAAAATAAAATAAAATGCAAATTAACTTTACTTAACCTGGTGAGCCACTTTATTAATAAGGAGGACATATGAAAAATTTACTCATTTAATCCAATTTTCACATGATATTAAAAAATTTTAAAAAATCCAATTGTAAGTTAGAAAACTCTGATCAGCAGCTACTCCTGGCTAAGTCTTCAAAGACATTTTCTCTTGTGCCTTGTTGGTTTAGTTTATAGATCTCATGGCAGACGTATAGTTAGGAAAGGTATTTCTGGCAGAAACTCAGTGAAGTCTCACAATGATAATAGAAAGCCATCAACATTTTTTAAAAAAAACTAGCAACATGACCAGAGCTACCAACAGCAATAGATGAGAGGGCCTGGAAAGAGAGGAGGTTAGAAACAAGGCCCCTTAGGAGTTCAATACAATTGTCCAGACAAAAAATAGTGACAGCCTCCATAAAGAAATGATGTCCTGCCGTGGTTTCCACCCGACCCACTCAAAGCACCAATCATAAAAGGGAAAGCAGATATTAAACACTAAACAGTCAACATTTATAAAGTTCTTTATCTATCAAACCCTTAGCATTTATTAAGAACCAGATGCTGTTCCAAGCACTTTGCAAATATTAGCTCATTTAGTTCTCATCACAAATATATGAAGTAAGTACTATTAACCTCCCCTATTGTACAGATGGAGGTACAGAGGCAAAGGGAGAAAAAAAATAAAGAATTCTTTTAAAGCAATTAAAAAAAAAAAAACACAGCCCAGCAGTATAATGGGCAAAGGAAATACACGATCTAGTATGGAGGGGAAAATATATACATATTAAATAAATATAATTTTTAATACAATGGTAAAACATTGTTTACCTAATAGATTAGGAAAGATTTAAAAGTTTGATAATATGTAAGGTTGATAAGAGTGTAGGCAACCTCAAACAGATTGTCAAACTGCAGCGGGAAGGCCAGGGAGGGTTGGGGGACAGGAGGTAGGGGGGTAAGAGATCAACCAAAGGTCTTGTATGCATGCATATAAGCATAACCAATGGACATAAGACACTGGGGATAGGGGAGGCTAGGGGACTGTCTAGGGCGAGGGGGGAAAAAAATGGACACATATGTAATACCCCTTGTATTACTTTAAGCAATAAAAAAAAAAAGAGTGTAGGCAACCAACTTCTTTGTAGCTTATTATTTGAAAAGTAATTTTACACAACTTTAAATTTGGCAATATGTAACATCATTTATATCAGTGGTTCTCAACCTGTGGGTCGCGACCCCTTTGGGGGTCAAATGACCCTTTCACAGGGGTCGCCTAAGACCATCGGAAAACACATATATAATTACATATTATTTTTGTGATTAATCACTATGCTTTAATTATGTTCAATTTGTAACAATGAAAATACATCCTGCATATCAGATATTTACATTACGTTTCATAACAGTAGCAAAATTACACTTATGAAGTAGCAACGAAAATAATTTTATGGTTGGGAGTAACCACAACATGAGGAACTGTATTAAAGGGTCGCAGCATTAGGAAGGTTGAGAACCACTGATTTATATGCACCTAATTTGGACCCAATACTTCCAATTCTAGAAAGTTGTTCCATAGATATATACCCATGTCATAGCTTTCTATCGCTGATGTAAAAAAAAAAAATTGCTGCAAAGTTAGCAGCTTAAAACAAAACAAATTTTCCATCTCCGTTTCTGTATGTCAGAAGTCTGGATGGGTTGGACTGAGTTCTCTGCTTAGGTTCTCACAAGGTAGAAATCAAGGTTTTGGCCAGGGGGTTCTTGTCTGGAGACTCTGGAGAATCCAGCTCCTTGAGGTTGTAGGATTGACCGATCACCCTCAGCTTTTGAAGCTGCTCACATTCCTTCCTATGTGGCCCCTTCACCCACTTGCCTCAAAGCAACAATAGCACATTGAATCCTTCCGGTGCTTTGGATTGCTTTGTCTTTCTCTCCTGCTTTCCTCTGGCGTCCTTTCAAGGGCTCATGTGATCACGGGGTCTGCCTAAAGATTCCGGGGTACTCCCCATTTTCCTGTCAATAGATTAGTACCCTTAAATACATCTGCAAAGCTCCTCTTTCTATAAACATATTCACCGTCACAGTAACAACAAGTTCAGTTTCGGGGGATTAGGACAGGATGTCTTTGGAGGACCATTTTAGAAATTCTGCCTACCATCGTCCAGATGTGCACAAAATATTTATTGGATTGCTTTTTATCATGTGGGGAAAACACGAGACAAAACAAAAATTTTAAGACAGGAAATAACCTAAATGTCCAGGAGACCAGCTAAATCAATTATGATATATCTATACAACAAAGTTCCATGTAACTTTTAATCAAAACAATAGAGTGCTATATGTACTAAAATGAGAAATCTCCAAGTTATATTGTTAAGTAAAAGACCAAGACCTAGCCCTGGCTGGTGTTGCTCAGTATTATGGCATCAGCCTGTGCACCAAAAGACTGAGGGTTCGATTCCCGGTCAAGGGCACATACCTGGGTTGCACATTTCCTGGCCCTGATTGGGACTGTGCAGGAGGCAACCAATCAATGGGTCTCTCTCACATCAATGTCTCCCCCCACCCCCCACCCCCCGCCCCCAGCTCGCTTGCTTCCTTCCATTCTCTCTATAAATCAATAGAAAAAATATCCTCAGATGAAAATTAACAAAGAAATACAAAAACCAAGGCCTACCACAGGGTAAATAATATGCTAGCCTTTGCATTTTTAAAGGGGTTATATCGTTAAAAATACCATAGACCCTGAGAAGAGTAATTGTCTCTAGGGTGGAGGAAAGGAAACTGGAGACTGGAGCTAATCTTCACATTTGTGTAGTTTAAGTTCTTACCATATGTATGTCTGTGTTACTTTTTAAAAAATAAAAAATAAAAGAACTACATCCTACAAAGGCTTTTAACTAAAAATATGAAATAACTTACTTTAATTTACAGTGATAGACACTGGAGCAGTCAGAAAGTCCATCTTAGGCAAGTTATTCTGATCTTCTCCTTATATGTTGAATATAACTCGAGAAATCTACTTCCCTTAGTCTCCATGGCCAAGAAGAAAGAACCGATGTAAAATACATAGCACAGCATATAGGCAATCCTTTTTCCTTGATCCAGAAGCTTATATTGTGAACATGTGGTATCCATGTTTACAAACCCAACTCCTGACATCAGAAGTTAGTGTGGAAAATTAAAGATAAGATTTGGCTTAATGGCTACCATTTGAAGCTTCAGAATAAATTACAAAGGAGGCAAATCTGGGTTCAGCTCCTAGTGATTTAGCACTGAGCCCAGGGAGACCCAGATGCCAAAGACATCTCTTCTTTCTGTAAGTATTTCATAGTCTCCACAGTATCAACACAGTTGAATGTGGAAATTGCCCTCAGGAATCATATTTTTCCTGGGTGCCTTGCTGTTTACATTTTGAGAAACAGCTATCTCTTTACTTTAAAAGGTAACATCGTATTAAATGATTTTGTTCTCTTAGGTGATAAAGTTATCACACTCTTTCTACCACAGTGTGGAGAGTGTGCCTCATGCCTTAATTCTGAAGACAACTATTGTATACAACTCAAGTAAGTTTTTACTAAATATTTTCTTTTTGAAAAATTAATTGAATGTCCTTGGAAGGAATACAAGCTTGCTAATTCAAACTTAAAAAAACTTTTTGTTTGTTTTTTTGGTCTACAAAAGACAGTCATATACCAGCCTGATGACTGATGGTACCAGTAGATTTACCTGCAAGGGAAAACCAATATATCACTTTGCCAATACGAGCACCTTCTCTGAATACACAGTGATAAGAGAAATCTCAGTTGCCAAGATCGATGCAGTGGCTCCTCTGGAGAAAGTATGCCTCATTAGCTGTGGTTTTTCCACTGGGTACGGTGCTGCAATCAATACTGCCAAGGTGAGAAGTGTTTATACCCATTGTGATTGGAACTCTTGGTATATGGTGTTGATAGGCCTCATGCATCTAGGCCATATCTGATCATTCAACCTGAGGAAGAATCACAAACCTGCCTTGAAACATCCCTGAGTTCTTTACAATCTAGTCATCCCATACCCTCGTCCACATCTGTCCCATTCCCTTTCAGTCAGTAGTAAATGCCAAATTATGTCTGGATGCCATTCACAAGTGGAGACATGAGGAATTACTGGAGTTAAACATAACACAGTCACAAAATGGCTATGTGCCTTCCATATTCCAGTTCATTCTTTTTTTCATTCAACAAATATTTATGGAGTCATTCACTGTTGCAGGTGTAGGGATTTAGCAGCTATCAAAACTCATCAAGCTTCTATTCTGTTGTATAATGCATCAGGTGGTGATCCATGCTCATGAAAAGAAAAGGAGAGTAGAAAGATCAACTCATGAAAGGGGTGTTGCTATATAAAACAGATTGGTCAGGCAACCCCACTCTGACTGAGTGGGTTACTGTTATACTTCTGTTTTGGAACATCACCCAATCCTGCCCAGCGCCACTATTTAATTGGCTGTTGAATTTTAGTTCTTTTTTCCCCCCCAATTTTCATTAGTCCCAATACCATACAAAGCGATAGGATAGAAGGGATTCAATTTAAATTAGTCTCATTTGGGACCCAATAAGAAATAAGCCTTTGCCTTCGTAAGGCATTGACAATGTAAGTAATGGAAAGATTACAGATATTCCCAAGGAAAGAGAAAGGAAGGGTTGCAGGAATTTGGAGATTGTTTTTAAAGAACTCAAAATATCCTAAATTAAGTAAATACTGAGCCAAATACGGTTCAAAGAAAGGTCATTAAACTGCTCCTACCCATGCTAATTCCTTGGTTGAAATGTTCTATTCGCAGGTAATTTTTTTGCTCCTATGGCAAAAAAAGTATTCCACATTTAGAAATACCTTGAGAAATTACAACTTTAGTTATAATATGTTTTAATTGAAAATATCCTTTGCTTACATCTCAAAAAAGTATATACAGACTTGGTCTTTCCAACTGAGTGAATGTGCGTGTTCTCTTTGCTTCTGTTTTATGCTTTTACGGGATCAGGTGACGCCAGGCTCCACCTGTGCGGTGTTTGGCCTTGGAGGAGTCGGCCTGTCAGTTGTCATGGGCTGTAAAGCGGCTGGAGCAGCCAGGATCATTGGGGTGGACATCAACAAAGACAAATTTGAGAAGGCAAAGCAAGTGGGCGCCACCGAGTGCATCAGCCCACAGGACTTCAAGAAACCCATCCAAGATGTTTTAGTTGAAATGACAGGCGCTGGTGTGGAATTTTGCTTTGAGGTCATTGGAAATCCAGAATTGGTGGTATGTAATCCTCTGGAATGAAAATTGCCAAATTTCTACCAATCATCACTTTAGATTTTACTTGAATAAAAATTCTAAAACTTCTTCCACATTCCTCTATTTGATTTTCCTGTGCTTATGACATCCCACCTGATATCCTCTGTCCACTCCTACAAATCTATTCATGCCCTAGAACTCCCATACTGTGTTTTTCTTCTCTCTCCCCTCAGTGACATAAGGGAATCATGCCAGTCCCTTCAAATAAGCAGACAACATCCAAGAAGCAGGACAGAAAGGCCTTGTTAAGAATTCTCAAGAGATTATTTTGTAACAAGCAGAAGCCCAGTAACTTAATTTCTAAGCCAGAAGATTTAGGCAGGATAAGGACAATATTGGATGAATGAGCCTATAAAGCAATGTGAGCTTTGCACTCACAGCCAAGTCTTTTAGGTTGGATCTGAGAGAAGCTTCCAAGGAAAATATTTATCAATCTTGAGTAATAGACTCATTTCAAAAATAAAGAAGAAAGATGTTGTTTTTCTGGCTAAACGTGGTTGATGTAAGAGAATATGAATGGAGAAGAAATTATTTTGCAGCTTGAGACTTGCTTTCCTGGGAGATTTGTAGAAGCAATGTAAAGACCGGGTTGTACGGCTCCACCAGAAGAATGGAAACCCAAGAACTGCCTCCTCCAGCCGAGGTCCTTTCTTCAGCTTACAAAATCATTTCACTCCTCACTACCCACAAATCTCCTCTTCTGTTAAAAGATACAGGAAAACCTTTCTCACAATCTTTCCCACAGACAGTCAGGGTCTAAGAAATAGCCTTTCAAAATAACTAATGGGAACATTAGTTGATCGCTTTGCTAATACATGATGTAATGCAAATATCCAATTGTACTCTTTTATGTTGAAAAGATGTCAACTCTAACCATCAGTCTCAGTAATGGTTCATATTAAAATTAGTAGTAGCAGTAGTGATAGTAGTATTACTGCCATAGATATTAGTATTTTAATTGTTAAATTTCTATCTGTTTAATCTAAAATGCCAAATACTATACATACTTGGCAGTACACAATATCTTATTCATGTCTCAGCATATCCTTGTAAGAAAAATGTTATTTCAAATGAGGACAGAGAGAGCCATAAACGAAGGTCACAGACCATTCAGCAGTCAAGCTGAGATTTAGACTAAGTCCCTACCTCTGAGGCACATCTTCTAACCCCTGCATTGTCTTGCATTGCTTTCCAACAGGCAGCTGCCCTGGCCTCCTGCCATGAGAGCCATGGAGTCTGCGTGATTGTTGGGCTCTTGGATTATGGTGTCCAGCTCAACATCAATGGCTACTTGTTCTTCTCGGGACGTTCTTTGAAGGGATCTGTTTTTGGAGGTATGGATGAAGCAAGGAAGAGTGGAAATGTGTGGGGGTTTGGAGATGGCATAATAGATAAATATATCATAAATGCTTGAGAAGGCACATAAAACAAGAGCTTTAGACTACAGTTTTTGTTTCAACACAAATATCCAATACAGGGTAATGGGTATTGGATATCTACAGTTGCCTCTTGGTAAACTTTTTCTCGCAAAGAGAGAGAAGAGACTTTAAAAAATTGATTGGGGAAGAAGCCAATGTCCAAAGTTTAATGCAAATTCTAAACTGAAAAGGAAAGGCAATTTTGTGATCAATAACTATACTTCAATTGAGTTATATACCTGCCAACTGGCATTCTTTGAAGGATATACTGAACCATTAGCGGTCATTGTTCAACAATGTAAATCTTATATGAAACAACTGAGTTGTCATTATATCAACTCAAATTATATTAAACATGATAGATTTATGACTAAAAAGAAATACTACTGATAACAAGAAAATGAGACTTACTTTTGGAGAAAAAAATCATAAAGTACTTTGATTTTTACATTATTTTAAAATTTTATATATTTTAGAAGTCTTTTATGAAAAAGAATAAAGAAGCTAAATTAAATAAATCTATTTAGGATCTTGTGCTTATAAATAAGTAATCTAATATTTAAGAAAAAATATATTTAGCCAGAGATTTTTGGGCAATCTGAATTCTTGGGCAAAAGAGATGAGAATTAGGAGCCATCTGCATTATTTGGACTAGTGAGCTAGCTGTGGCCTCCAAATTAGCTATGGTAGGGTTTTCTTACGGGTATTTTACAAAAAGTAGATAAATGACAGAGCCAGGGAAAAAGGCAAAAATCCAGTTTAGACTGTACTTCCAGCTCCTCCATTTGGGATCATTGGACAAACACACTGTTGTTTCCCTCTATTGTGTTTACAGATAATAACTGCTGATTACAAATGCATATACTCAGCTAACTCTTGTAAAATAAGGTCACCAATATTTTAAATAATCCTCATATAGAAATATGTCACTGGCCACTTAAACATTCACATAATGATCGTGAAGTTAATTCCTTTCTCTGGTTCAATAGTTTTCAATTAAAGGTAGCATTAAATGGGTGTTGAACAGGCCTGCTAAACTTCCTGCAATATACACTAGGAAGACTTTTCCCACCCAAAATGCCGTTAATGCTATTGTTAAGAAACACTGCCTGGCCTAGTCTATGTTCCTGGGGCCTTCCTTTTTGGATTGTTTGGTTGAAAGAAGAAACAAACAAACAAAAAAAAACAAGTGAAAGTGTTCCTTATATAGATGTGAAAATGCTTTATCATATCACCAAGCAAAACATAAAATCAAAGACAGCAGATCTTAAAAACTGTCATCACAAGAAAAAAATTGTAACTGTGTGTGGTGGTGAGTGTTAACTAAACTTAGTTTAATAGTAATCATTTCACAATATATACATACATCAAATCATTATAGTGTACGCTGAAAACTAATACAATGTTATATGTCAGTGACATCTCAATTTTTGAAAATAAAGATTAAGACAAATAGAAAAATACACTAGCCCTTCATGCCATGACATATAGCACATTAGAATTCTTGATTTTATATATATCAGAGACCAACTTACATGCAAAATACATTCCTTGGAATAGTTTTAGGTAATTTTGGGAATAGGTGGGAAGACTGAAGAACGTGGCCCAGGCTGGAACCAAGAAAAGCACGTAACCGCCAAGATCCCGTCAAAGGATGAGCTGCTTAGGACACTTGCCTCCTTGCACAATTACACCACACTCACCCCTTCCGGAAACAAGCAGACCACCACTTCTGTGTGGTGACTTGCTGGCATGTCGCTTAGCACAGTCCTAAATGTAAAAATGGTATTTCTTGAAAATTATGAAAACAGAGAAAATACAACGCCAAGTTTCTGTTCCCTTGGCTGACCCTACCTTTCCCTGTGCAATTCTTGCTTCCAGAAAAAACATTTTATTCTTATCTTGCTGTATACACATTCTTTTTTCCAAAAACTGTCACTGAGATCACTGCCATGCGGAAATTCTTCTCTTCCCTTAAGATATTTGGCTCTTTCATGAAACTGCAGACCAAAACAACACACGAGATGTCCTGTTCCTGACCTTTGAATTGCTTTCTTTCATAGTTCCCAAGACTTTGGCCTTGTTTTTTGTTTTTGTTAATGGGAAATCCTTAGATTTCCTCAGTCAAAGCCAACACCTCCAGCAGTTCACCTGGCCCTTCGTGTAGAGTGAGTCTCATGAATAAAATCTCTTGTTCATCTGTTGTATTTCCAGGCTGGAAAAGCAGAGAGAGTGTCTCTAGACTGGTTTCAGATTATATGGCAAAGAAGTTTAATCTAGATCCACTGATTACCCATACTATGAAGCTTGATAAAATCAATGAAGCCGTTGAATTCATGAAAACCGGAAAATGGCAAGTTCTTCCACTAACCTTTATGTCTGAGTGTTTGGGGCAAGGGAAAGGGGTGTGGGAGTCGGAGGCAGGGAAGGGAAGTCGTGGCTGGTGAACCACATGCAGACAAGTGAAGGAGGTTTCAGGAGTCTGTAAAGCATCTCCTCTCTCTCTTTAATTCATTCCCAGTCTATCAATGTAATCCTTAAAATATTTAAGTGCTCATCTACCCTTACCATTCGTATTTTATTTCCAAGTTGGCATTTTTTATATGACACATTAATCAATGAGTTTAGCTCACAAAATTTTAGCTCAAGTTTGAGTTCATAGTTTATGAAGAGATCATGGTTGTTCTATTTCCAAGGGGGGAATTATCCCTAGAATTCTAAATTCTGACACCTATCTTTGGCCCACAAACAGAACTCCAGCCATCAACTGGACACTGGCCTTCCCCACAGGGTACAGACCTGCTTACATGTTCCACACCCTTGGAGCTGGGTGTCATTTTGAAAAAAAATCTCACACTGATTTAATCTCTCCATTTTTCACATAACATGAACAGAAGGAATCTAACTTACTTACTGGTCTACAAAGTGAAAATATGAAATCCCAAACACAAATGTTGCTTTGGAAATGTTTCAACTTATTTTTTTCTTTCTTTTCTTTTTCAGTATTCGCTGTGTCCTATTACTTTAAGTACAATGTAATGAATGCAAGACCTGAGGCATATTTCACCAACTAAATTGCATCCTGTAAAACTTCCATGACTTAGAAGAATTATCCACACAGTGCTGTTTCTATGTTCTTGCCTCTGATTCATTCAGCAGTGGGCTCATATCTGACTTCTGCTCTCAACACATCAAAATTGGTCTTATGTCACCCAGTCCCACCCAGGAACGTCTCCCTGTTAGAGCTAGTTTAGGGTTGATTTGAATCACCCAATTCCAAACCCTTCAAACCAACAGTCACCCCAAGATACTCCCATTTTCATAGTTGCCCCTACCTCTGGGCCCCTGTTTCTTTGCACACTATGTCTCTCATCCCCATGAAACTTCACTCATTTCACACCAAAGAAACAAAACTCACCACTCATGAGTTTATTGAACATTCAGGTTAAAGCAAGCTGATGGGGGGAAGGGGACTTTATTACATCAACTTAAATAAATCCTAGTTAAACACTAAGTACTTCATTCTCAGTAGTACTCACACCAGAGAAACTCCTACTGGTGTTTCATCTTATATAACCCAGCCTCAAACCATCACTTACAATACTTCTATGGCACTCACCTCTTCTCTCGTGGATTGCCAAAGTTCTTCTTTAATTGGCCAGGACAATTTAGCTCGCAGCAGTTTGTGTCACGTGGCTTCATAGCCAAGCCATCTAAAATTCATCAGGAAGAAAAAGGGGCTTGAAAGAAAAGGGGCGTCATTAATTACCAGGATCCATGCGCCCTAGGAGGCCGCTGTGGTATTAAACAATAAAACTGGCTGTTATTCCACTCTCCAAGGGAAGAGGGGATAGTGTGTAGTTACTACTAATGTGCATCACAGTTTCTTTCCTTCAAGAAGTAGATGAGATAAAGACAAGATCCAGCAGTGATTTGTGGCACCCAATCCCTCTCTACCCCTGCCCCCCCTTCTCTGCCCTACTCCTTCGTAATGCTCCTAGAACCTGGATTAAGATTGAGCCTTCGTGGGATATGACTTCTTCCCTATTCCCTAGATAGAGAGTCTCTTTCAAGCCCTCTTCTCCAGCACACACACCAGAGCTCCCTTCCTAGTTAAGGTCACTTCTGCTGCAGTTTGGGCTCCCCTAGATCTGAAGCCACTAGATCAGACGGGGGCCCCATGGGTCAGCAGACCTCAACAGACCTCGGGAAACCAGGAGATGAGATGTCATGCCTTACCTAGTCCAGTCGCTTCCTGATTTAAGATCAGCCAGAAAGGTGAGCTACATCCCTAGCCTATCTCTGCAGTCACGGCTACCACAGGTGTCAAAAGGCTCTCATGAGACTCTGATTCCCACACTGAGAAGAAGCATCATGAGGTGGGCACCCTGCCTTTCCTTCAGGGTACCTGCCTCCTACAAATAGAGGGCATAGGTGCTATCCAACCTATTCTTTCTCTTCCAAACTATGTCACCAGTGGGAGCAGGGGCTCTCCCTTTAGCAGGCTCAACCCTTAGCCTCCAGCAGAACCCTTCGAGTCCTAATGAGAGAACGGACAACTAAGCAAGGAAAAATTATTAACGTCAATGCTAACTAGTAATTTGTTTTTGCATCTGATGTGCTGTTTATTCTCAACGCTTTGTGCAAGCACAGTTGTGTCTAGGGCCTTTGCCCCTCCCACCTAGGAATACAAAATGGCTTGTATGTTAGTTTTATTCAACCTGCTGTCTGCATTAGAACCAGAGAAGGGCCTGGGTCCCAGTGGACTGCCACTGCTGGCTGCCCCCTCTCTGATCATCATAAGGAGTATTTTAACAAAGACAGAGGGTTCAGAATAGGGCATGCCCTACCAGGGATGCCTCTGCCGACAAGGACGTGGCACCCTCCTTCTCCATCTCACCAAGTCTGACAGGACGCCCAACTCTGCTCTGCTCTGTGCCTCTATTCCCTGAGGGCAGCTCAGCATGCCCCTGCCCTGCTGTGGGAATTAACATTACTAACACTGAGAACTTGGAGAAGTCTTCAGGTCTTGCTGGGGTCTGAGTCTGCCCAAAAGTGTTTTGCTGTCAACAGCACCTATATTCTACCCAATAAAGCCCACTTCTTTAAGCTGCTTCGAATGTCTCTTTAAGTTGTAGCGCATTGCAAAACTCTGTATCCAGTCACAAATGCAGACTTTTTCTCCTTTCCGTTGATACATGGCCAGAAATATTACATGAGTTCAGGTGACGACCCACATCGTATACCCATCCACTGTCGCTGTTGGCCACAGGGGGAAAGAATTCATGAAAATATTAAAAAGGCTAGAAAAAGTAAACGTTACAGAGAAATTTTTTTTAAATTATTTGTTACAAATGAAACCACTAACAACTTGCAAAAAAACAGTTTTAATTAAAAGATAGAAAATGAAAAAAGAAGTTAAGAAGTGAAATGCGGGAGAAAGTAGAAGCAAAGAGTAAGCTTCAAAGTATGTAAAGCAAAGAGTAGGAAAAGGCTCTGGCTGGTGTGGCTCCGTGGTTAGAGCTTCGACCAGCACACAAAAGGGTCATGAGTTTGATTCACAGCCAAGGGCACAGACCTAGGTTGCAGGTTTGAACCCCGGACTCAGACGGAGTGAATTAAGGAGGCAACCAATCGATGTGTCTCTCTCACATTGATGTCCCTCCCTTCCTTCTTCCACTCTTTCTAAAAATCAATGGAAAAAATAGCTTCAGTGACTGTAAGAAATGAACAAGTTTATAATAATTATTTTTAAATATCTCTCGTAGTTAATAGAACAAGCAGACCAAAAATCAATATGAGCTGGCTCCAGTACACCACCGGTGCTTATTCTCATTAATGATCACAGAACTACAAATTACAAACAATTACTTATCAATCCACTCCCACAGATTATCAAAAATTATAAAGTCCAGCAATTCCAAGCATAGGCAAGGTTGTGGCCCAGTGAAAACTCTGATACATCCTTGCTGGTAAGGAAAGCCACATTGTAAAAACACTTCGGCCTTCTCTATCAAAGTTGAAGACGCAGTAATTCCACATCTACTCAAAATACTTCACAACCACTATGGGACACTCCATTTCCCACAAACAGCCAAGCAAGTGTGATTCCAGGGGAGCTCTGGCCCACTGCATCGGTGGTCAGAGGTCCCTAAGGTCAGATGGGGCACCAGGTACTTGCCTACAGGCATCCAGGGACTACTCTGTACTGAGCACAGCCAGAGTCCCAGAGACCCAAAACCATCAGGTTGGCATCACCATAATAGTGTGTACTGTTTGCATATTAGTCCTGAATTTTCCTTAAGGAAACTTTTTTATGCAATCATTAATTCATCATAAGAAAGAAAAGGGAAAGGAAAATAAATGATAATGAAAATAAACAGCTACAAGCAATGTGGGGGACTTCTCAAAAACATGGAATTGAGAGAAGACATGAAAGAATACAAACACTAAGATTTCATTCATATAAAGTTTTTCATAAGTAAAACTAAACAATACTTACAGAGAAGCATAAATCAAAAAGAAATGCAAGGAAATAATTATTAGGGTGGTGAAGGAAAAGGGTGAGTACAGGAAGGATTCTGGAGCAATGGAAATGCCCTTTATAATTTGTGTTAACTCATCTGTACATGTAATAAACTTTTATCTATTATTTTATATTTTGCAATAAAAGGGAAAAAAAAACAAATAAACAAAATCTCCTCCAAATAATGACTGGGAGCAAAGGCTGTTTGCAGCTGAAATACGATAGCACAAATGACGTGATAAAATATGGGCTGAGATGTGGATCACAGCAACAAAAAGGGCAAGTGATTGGAGAATAAAAAAGCAGGGATGGTATTTATTCAGTGGCAGTTCAATCCAGGTTACAGAGAAAGCATCCTGGACAGAAGTGGAATTTCTTAAATCAGAGAGAAGCTTCCAAGGCGAGTTTCCCAAAGAAAAATGGGCACCAAGGGCAAAGTAAGCAAATGTACTGTTTCTTTGTTCAATTCTTCTTTTTTGTATACTAGTACTTTTGCTAAAAAGCTTCCATTTAAGTTAACCTCAGAATGCATTCATTTAAAGTTGATCAAAAGCACCCCGTCATGCTAGAAAATTACGCTAATAAAATTACTGTAGACTGGCCATAATGCTTACAACAGGCTGTCAAATTAAATATTTTTATTTTTCAAAAGAAGAGAGAGATTTGGGTAACTATAACCATAAAATAGAATTTGCATTTGTTAAAAGTAGTGTTAGAGAAGAATATGGAAAACATTCATAGTATATTAATAAGTAGAAAAAGTAGATTAAAAATATCACATACAATAAGATCCCATTTGGGGATAATTCAAAGGATTTACCTCACAAAATTACAGGTGGATTTTATTCCTTTTCTTCTTGTTTGTATTTTGAAACTTTCCATAATTAACATTTATTGCACCTGTAAATAACATTAATGATATTTTAAAAAATAATTCAAAATTACATACTGTAAAAAATATGTATTCATGTTGTCAAAGACTAGGAAAATCACATCAAAAACAAAAAACTGTAGTAGTATTAGAATGGAGAATTATAGGTTTGTTTCTTTCTACTTTCTTTCAATGTTACTTATATTTAAAACTAAAAATACAATATTAAGAGGCAAGCCCAGCTGGTGTGGCTCACTGGTTGAGTGTTGACCTACGAACCAAGAGGTCACAGTTCCATTCCTGGTCAGGTCACATGCCCAGTAGCAGGCTCAATCCCCAGTAGGAGGAGTGCAGGAGGCATCCAATCAATTACTCTCTCTCATCATAGATGTTTCTATGTCTCTCTCTCCCTCTCCTAGCCTCTCTGAAATCAACAAAAATATTTTTAAGAGGCTAAATAAAGTTTTAATTATAGAATCCTGCTTAATTTATAAAATAAGTTTATATAATACTATTTAATTTCTTTTATACATTTTTACCCAAAATTCTTTCAGTGACCAAATTTTTATTTAATTTTTATTTATTCTACTGATAAATTTACTAATTATTTAAGCCTCACTTCTCAAACTTTTATGTGCATATGAATCACCTGGATCTTGATGAAATGCAGATTTTGATTTAGGGGATTTGGGACAGGTCTTGTTGCTCTAACAAGTTCCCTGGTGTTGTCAATAACTTCTGGTCCAAGGGGGGATCATACAATGAGTAGCAAACATGTAAAATCACATCTATGTCCTAGCAATGAGGACTCAGGTAATTCAGAGCTGATAACAAATTGTTCAGTCAACAAATACTTACTGGCCAAACCCTATGAATTTATCCCCTCTGCTACTGAAGGGGGGGAAGATCGAGGCACTATATTACGGTAAACTTTAGTGCACCTGTTTTTCTCAAAAATTGAAAGGGCACCCAGGCCAGTGTGGCTCAGGGGCTTGAGCATTATCCCTTGCTCCAAAGGGTTGCCTGTTCCATTCCTGAAGAAAGGCCTGTGGAAGGCAGCTGATCACTCTCAGATCGATGGTTCCCTCCCTTCCTCTCTCTAAATAATCAATAAACTAGTCTTTTAAAAGGAATACAAGTGCAATGACTATAATGTAGATCATGATTTCTTATTTTCAATAATCTACTTTTCTACAAAACAACATAATTATATAAAACATCCAGCCACAAGTTATGGTGTATTATGCTTTTTATTTTTTCCCCCATAATATTCTCTATTACCTTCTCCCTCCCAATCCCCAACCCCAACTTCTCCCTCTCTTCCCTCCCTCCCTATGTCCCTCTCTCTCTCCCAGGTTATTAAATGCAAAGCAGCCATCGCCTGGGAAGCAAACAAGCCCCTTTGCATAGAAGAGGTTGAGGTAGCTCCCCCCAAGGCACATGAAGTTCGAATTCAGGTGAGTGGGGACTCGCCCTGGGCAGGACACTCTAGGCACTAACTAGGGGCAGACTTGGCTCTGTCAGGTCATGTCTATGTGATGTGACTGGGAAGCCCGGCAGTTCTCAGTGTGGGCGATTGTATCTTTAGGTTCAGATACAAACAGGCCTTATCTCCAGGAGGGGTAAATCATTAATTATTTATCAGTAGTCATTGATAATGGGCCTTAGTTAAAATTTAACTAAAGCACCTTAACAGTAATCATTAACCTTAAGAATCATATTAAGGA